TTGCCAAACTGTTCTCTAGAGAAAATCTCAAAATCCCATTAAAGACACAAAACAAGATCCAAACAGCTGGAGGGAGATAACACATTTATGGATAGGATGACAATGTCCATTTTCTCCAAATTAATTTCCCTCAATCCTCCAATTCAATAAAATTTCAATCAATGCCAACCTAAGTTCAGTTAAAAGAGCACCAGCATTTTTTTTAAACAATCTGACAAATTGATTCTAAGTTCATATGGAAGCATAAATGTCAACAGATAACTGAGATATATCTGAAAAAGAAGCTGAGGGGGTAGAGCCATCCTATTAGACGTTAACTTGCACTACAAGGTTGTCGCAATAAACAGCATGAACTGGCCCAGGAGGAGACAAATAGATTGAGACAACAGAGTAGAAAGCTCAGAAACAGCTCTTTCATTCATGGGAAGCTGGTGTAGCAGAAGTGGCCCTACTGGTCAGTAGGACTAAGATGAATTATTTAAGTAAATGGAGTTGGAGGAACTGGCTTACTCTATGGAGAAAGGCGGCGTCCTCCTAACTCCAGATAAACCAAAGATTTCATGTGTACAGTAAGTTATAAAACTAGTGGAAATATATATAAACACACACATGATCTTGTGGTGGCGAAAAAGATCTCAAAAACATAAGTCACAAAGTGAAAATTTATTAAATTTATCATGAAAGTTCAGGATTGCTATCTAATGAATAACACCACCAGCAAAGTTAATAAATGAGTGATATTTTCAAGCCTAAGATGAGCAAGAGATTACCATCTAGAATATGTAAGAGATTCTTGGAAGTCAATGAAAGGAAGAGGGGAACCTGAAAGATAGGGAAACAGCATAGGAAAGTCCAGAAGAAACGCACACTTTACAGGAAGAAAAACACAAACATTTTAAAAATACGTTATCAGTTTGCAGGCATCAGATTTGCAGAAATGAGCAAGTTTGATGGCACCCATTTGTGTGGGGGGGCTGGGAAGCAGGAACCTCTGTGCCCCTCCAGCAGAAGTATAAGTGGGTACAGCCATCTTGGGGAGCAACTGGTGGTACTTAAGGAAATTAAGTGTGCAAACGCCAGCCATCCCCTCCTGGGGTATATCTTAGGTTCACAAGGGAAAAGCATGAGGCTGTTCATCACCAATGTTGCTCATTGTCACAGGCAGACGGAGGTAACCCAGACATTCTTTGCCAAAAGAAAGCAAAGTAAACGTGGTTGACGTGATCTATAGAATACTATTCAGCGATTAGAAGCCAAAAACTAGATGTATATACAGCAACATGACTAGATCTTAAAACCGTGGTACTAGGTTTAAAGAAGGAAGAAACAGTCCTGTACTACTTGTGTGTGCAAGGACCCCTCTGTATCCGCGGGTTTGTGAGAACATTCAAGAGCCACTGCCCACGGGGTGAAGAGAATGGCAATGGGACTTGGAGACAGGGGAGAAAGCATAAATAAAACAAGAAGACCCTGCACGGTTTTGCGCCCGGAACCATGGAGTATGACTGAGTCAGCTGTCTGCACTGGGGTCCAAGGAAAAGGAAAGAACGGAGATGCGTGGGGAAAATGGCATGAGGAAAGCCAGCAAGCCTGCGGAGCACGACCAGGGCACAGAGGCAGTGCTCTGGCCCGGGTGTCTGTCACATCCTGCCTGCTGTAATTGCTGTCCTTGGGCTTTGGACAGACTCCACCTGGGCCGCCCTGGTCCTCAGGGGCACGTCCCGGTGTGTGACAGCTCCTCACGTAAACCAGCAGCCACACACTTGTTTTGTGGAGTCTCTGTTTGCCTCCTGCCCGGTAGTGAACAGTGCTCAGCCTCTCACATTCCAGATTCCCGGAGCCCAGCAAGGCTTCCAGAAGCATCGAGCCCAAGGTCAACTAGGCTGAGGCTCCTGTGCAGGCGATAAAGGCCGGTTTTACATCACAAACATTGCAACACAAATATTTTCAGGTTTTCCAGTGGGGCCACCAAGTGGATTCTTTCCCTCCAGGCAGCTCCAGTCCTCAGACTCAACTTTTCCCTGAAGCCTCTGAATCCTACTTTCTTCCTTATGCAGGGCAATTTAATTTTGGCCCAGGGCCTCCCTAGATGCATACCCACAGCCTAAATCACTGGACACTCACCGTTGAGAGTAGCAGCACTAGACGTGGAAATACAGTGTAAGCAGCTCATTTGTGTTCTCAACTTCATACGCGGCCAAAACGCCTGGCCTGCCCAGAACACGAGTTGAGTGCAGGGGAAGTGAGACAAAGCCTCATCGTCCAACAGGAACGGGGACGATAATACATATTTGAGAGGTTAGTTGGACCTGAAAGCAAATGTCACTTTATTGAACGGTGGGGTCTGGTAAATCAGGAAACTCGGAGTTACAAGGAGGGACAGGCTTGTGTCGCGGTCACGGATTCCGTTGCCTTTCAAGTTTTCAGCGTCTGGCTGGTTCGTCGTACACTGTATTAGGACGCCCTCTACGAGAAAGAAACGACCCGAATGTCAGAATGGAAGGGAGTCTGGGTCCACCCTGCGCCCCGCAAAGACGGGAGCATGTCTGCGCGCATGTCAACGGAACAAATTAATGCAGGCCCAACGACGTTGTTTTTCCCCACGACGGTTATTTTGAAGCTTTGGCAGTTTCTATTCTACTGGTGTTTGGTTTCGTTTTTCAAACTCGCGCTGGCTCCCCGAGCCGTGCGTGTGTCCGGGAGCAGCCCCTGGGCTCCCGAAAGCTCGGCCACTCTCCGCCCCAGCGCCCCTCGGACTCCCCCCTCGGCCCTTCATTCTGTTAGGAGCCTGTTTCCCAAACAGCTCCGACCGACCGAAGGAGGTGGCGAAGGCGGGGTCGCGCTCCGCGGCGGGCGAGACGGGGCAGGGCACTTGCGCGCTGGGCGCAGCAGGTGCGAAGCCCTGGAGGCCTGGTGCCGGTGCGAGCGCGGCCGAGCTCAGGCGCCCCCCACCCCCCCTCCCCGCCCTGCTCCCCGCCCTGCTCCCCGCCCAC